CAATTACAGACATGTCATCAATATAGATATAAAAATCTATTTGATATTTAATGTTAGTAAAAACACACACACAGGATCAACAATCTAATGACTGGGTAATGTTCTTATGGACACCCTCTGCTGATGCTACACTTGAGATAATAATAAGAATAAGAAGAACCTTCAGATCATCTTTCACAAATGCATCTTTTATCTACTTGTGTATTCATCCCCTATCTTGCTTTCTTTACACAAAAATCAGCCACCAGAAAATCGCCGTAACAAAACATCATCAATTTGTCAATTTTCCTCAACAAGGTGATATGTTTGTGCTCTTCTTCTAGTTTTTAGTGCGTCATTCTTCTCTGTTATTGCCCCGTCTTCCTTCATGTCACCTTTCTTACTCTGGCTTCATAACAGATCTCTTTCAATATTATTCTGTGGAGTGTAAGCCATAATACAAGCTGTGCTTTCTTTTTCTCTTTTTGCCCACCAGATGTTGCCTTTAGGCTTATGAAAAGAAAGAAAAACTGCATGCAATTTATTGTGAATCACAAGTTGGGATGAAAGAGGGGAAATGCGCACCCCATGGGTTAAAGCAGATTATGCTCTTATTGAACTCTCTTGTCCTTGTACACTGTCTTTTAAAGTGACCTGATTTAGCCTTCTTGTCCATCCTATCTCTCTGCCTGCCTTGAATTATCATATTTGTACTTTTTGTCATTGCATCTTACATCATTTTGAAGAGCTTTACTACTGCAACATACATTCATGTTAACTAATTCTTATTCATGAAAAAAATCCTAAACTTAGCCTTGCAATATGGAGACTACTACTGAATAGTTATGACGACATAATTCTATAGACTATCATCAGTAATAAGTTCACAAAAGAAGCCACAAATTTCTTCCAAGACAAAATCTTCTTGCTCATCAAATTCACTTGTCTTTCTTCAGCTCACCATATTTTCAATACGACCAATACTTATTACATAATCCACTCAGTTTTAGCGGTTAATGGCTAATGAGGATTCGAGTTGGAACTCAGAATTTTATGGTTCCTTTCTTACAAAGGCTGTGTTTCATTTCACACTGGACGAGACCACTACGACAGTAATATAGTAAAAATATTTAAGTCACACTAGCTAACAAACTCTTTTTTTTTCAGTATTATAATTCATGGGCAACCACCCACCTTCATGTACTCACTGAACTTCTATTTTTCATACATTTTAAAATATTTCTTTGCAAATTCCTTAATTACCTATTTTACACAAAAATCCATCTCAGCCATACCTTTTCAACTACAACATAACATTCAAAGTAAATATAGGGTATGTCTGGCATGCATATATCGGAAAATATAGAGGAAAGAACAGAACATTGTAATGTGTAATTATTGATGGAAGGAGAAAGAATATTTGTAAATTTATATCTGTACATACATACAACAAACCACACCATACACAGCAATACACACTGTACACAAGGAAACTTTGAACTGCTATCATCTTTTCTCCAGATCTTAGCTTGGACCTCCACACATCGCTAAAGTCTGGCCGAGTCCTTGTAATTCTCCATCAATATCATAAAGCGCTAAAAATCTTTCCTCGACATAAGAAAGTCTCTCTGGCTCCTAATCACCCCATCAACATGAAAAAAAAAAACTATTTGCAAAATAACTGCGACACAATACTCCTCCATAATCTTCAAGTCAGTATTTATAATAGCTACGAGATTTTCCACAATCAGATCTTTCACTCTCAAATATGAACCAATGTCTGGCCTCTGTCCTCTGTATTTAAAAAAGAAGAGGAAAAAAAAGTCTATGATTGAAAGACTAATAAAAAAAATAACAAAAAGAGCTTTACATTTTAAGACTCTTATGTAACAAAAGTCCTTACCTTAAAAAATCACTACCTTCTTTTCAGAAGGAAATTCAAACGGTTATTCACTTGTTAGTCTACTTCCTTAATCAATCCGTGGCATGATGGCTTTTACTATTACGTTTTCCGTCAATCAGCCAGCAATATAACTCCACTTTCTCCTTTTTATAAGAGACTAATTTTTGCAGACTCCCTCCCACTCCATAAAACATCCGGTAAACAAACCAAAGAACGATTCATAAGTACATTGTCTGAAACTTTGCCTTCCGTGATCCTACGAGAAGCAGTTAAAGACTTTTTAAAATGCCGTTCCTGGTCCGTTGTTAAGTGAAGCAGTTAAGACCTTTTAGAATGCATTCCTGGTCTTTTGGATAAACTTGGCTTCCTTGCTTATGGCTTTGATTTCACCACGAAGGACGCATTTCATGATAATTTCTATGTTTTAAGCAACGTGGAAATATCACAACAAATAAAGAGGAATAAACATGAAAATGTATGAGATAATGCCAAAGAGAATCATATCAACAATAAAAATCAAAAAAAAAAAAAAAAAAAAAAAAAAAAATCCAATAATTATGATCATCAAGACTGATAACTGAAGAATATCGATGCTGACATTGATGTTGAAGTTAATGTTGATGTTGATGCCGATGTGCATTATGATGATGACAATGATGCTGGGCGATGAAGATGATATAAACTACGAATGCTACTCCTTCTACTTCTACTTATACCAACTACTACTACTACTACTGCTACTACTAAAATAAAAATAATAAAAAATAAATAATGATTGTGAGAATAATGACAATAGTAATAATGACATCAACATGGAAAATAAACAAATGCAAAAAAACAAATACTACAAATTCTCTCCTACTGTACCTGAAGGTTTGTGTCACCCGTATTTGCATTGTCACCGTCCATCACTACACTACTTGCTGCCTCTTGGTCCGGAAACCACTAGAAATAAGACATTAATTAGACTGAGAATTTAAAGTCTTCCTTCTATTGACCAATTATTATAATAACTTTTATTATCTCATATGTTTTAATCTTAGGAAAGCATATATATTTTTACAGATTCCTTTATAAAAAGAAAAAGTGATAATTTATATGATTCAAGTTCTCTGTCCCTAAAAGAGAAAATAATGATATTTTAAATAAGGTTTACAGACAGCTACAGCACATGAAAATGAGATATCTATAACTCAAATATGCCAGTGAGTGAATCTTCCTCTTCTAGGGTTTCCATAGATGCTTTACTCACCGCTTGAATTTCAGAAGAACCTGACATTGTGCCGCCCAATCCGTCAGAGAACATGGGCTGGGTGATCAGAGGTCCGGCACCTTGGGAGTCCAATCCTGAGCTTTCATACTTAGGAATCAGCATGCTCACTTCGTCCTGGCAGTTATCGTCAAGTGTTTCTGGTTCTTTACTATCCTCTGTAACAGTCCCGAAGTCCAGCCCTGTGTCGTCTTGATTTGAGTCGCTGCAGCTTGTGATTTCAATGATTTCATCTTTGATGTGAAGCTCTTGTGTCTGTTTCAGAAAAAAATATTTGAAATAGCATTAATACATGTGTGGAAGTATTCCCAAAGTCCAAGCCTCTGGAAAAATGGGTGAAAAATGAGGACATCAAAAATTACAAAAGCTCTCAACTGAAAAGTCCCTTTCCCTAAATACTGATCGATGCATACATTGTATCCTTTTATGAGATCAATACACAATGTCTGATTCTCTCATTCATTCATAAGTTTGTTTTACTATAACCTACCCTTGTAAGTGGGTTGCAATACTGATTATTCAAAAAATAATGGCAAAAATAACAAAAGACTAACCTCTGGGAGCAAAGCCTCCTGAAGGGGAGAACTATCGTCCATTCCCTCTTCATCCGCTATGCACGATTGATCTAGATTCTGTTCTCCCCTTGAGCAGTCCTTTAACCACTCAGCATCACTCCCTCTGGAGGTTGACAACGGCGTTAAAGATTCCTGAGTCTTCCTTCTCTTTGCACTGGGACTATTCACTTGGTCTGTGGTTACTGGAAGGGTTTTGCTCCTACCAGGGGGACTAGTTCTCTTATTTCTGGAGATAGTTCGGTCCTCACTTGTCCTTGTTTCTGCGGGCTCATCTGGCACTGCTAAGCCTTTAATCTTTAATAGCTCCGCCACTTTAATCAGCCGCGACAGATCAGATTGTGCCACACTCACCACACCAGCATACATGTAATTCAAAATAGCTTCCAGTTCATCACACTGCACATCTCTCAATACTATGACTGGGTGTTTACATGGTGTATGTTCAAACATTTCCTCAAAGTATTCACTACATGTTGATAACACAAATTTGTGCACTGGGTAAAATTTTCCATCACAAGCTACTGTGGCGTCTGTGTATCTTTGCTGTGGAGAAGAGCATAATCATATAATAATCAAGGTAAAAGGTCAGAATGCAATAGATAAAATTGAGTCTGATTCTTCAGTAAGATGTTGCCAAATAATTGCAAATTATCTTAACATTTTATATTTCATTCTCTCATCTAACACATGTTTTTAATCCCAGAATTTTGTCCTCGAGGTTTAGATAAGAATCTGAGATTTTTGTATCCCGAACCTTATATGTTCAGAATCTAATATTGTTTCATTTGTGCAAGTAAGAACACAAACTAGTAATGACGTAAATTCTAATACACAAGGAAAGAATAAGGGCAATAGGTGTAACATAAATAAAATCATGTGAAAGAACCAACTAACCATGAAAAATCACACAATGAAAAAAATCATTACAGTCAAAACAGTAACATTCATCTTAAGAAATAATAACTGAAAAACAAATCATAAAAATCAATCCAAAAATTTCTGTGAAAGACATAATAAGTATACCAATAACAATAACAAAGATTAGTTACTTTGTCTCTTAACGCTGCTATCGTATGACAAAAAGTTGAACTGTGGTTCTTCCACGACAATGACAGCATCCCGTCCATCATCTTGATTCTTGTGTTGCATCTGTCAATGAAAATTAAAGCATATTAATTTCGTGATTTCTAAGTAAAAACAATATTAGAAAGATTCAGCTGTATACATGTCCATGGGATCCATATACTCACGAACATTGAAGCTATTTGCATGTATTTGATCACTGACAAGTAAAAATGTTATTGTGAAATGATGCACAGATGTAGATATATTTCACCTAGCTTTAAATACAAGAAGGAAAGTACCCTGGAAAATGAAAGCAACAACATGAGGTGGTCACTGCAATAATGAACTTGCCACATGCGGGTAATTTTTCCCATTCTTTCTCAAACTCTTATAAAGAAATGTACTTTTCATCCTGTTGCAATAAGACGTGAATATGAAACGGGAAACATATTCTAATTAACCATATACTATATTAAACTTTACTGGATGTTGTTCCAATGCAGTAGTTCTTGACCTGTGCATTGCATAACCTGTGCAATTCTCCTCTGATTGACTTGTGCAATATTTTACAGGTGTTCATTTCCTGACTATTTTCTTTTTCTACTTTGTAAAATTAGGAAAACATGGACTGTTTCTGGTTGAAAATATACTTATATAATAATAACACGGATACCAACAAGAATTATAAGGAAATGTCCAACCTAGTATAAAGTAGCTAAACCATTCCAGTCAGAAACAAGCTTCTTATCAATCAGATTAGTATCTTTATGCAGTTTGAACACTTTCACAGGAACATGATAACTATACATGCATAATACATTTGTATAAATATTTTTAGTGTGAAGAGTTTATGCATAACAAATGTCTAAGAAACACTTTTTGTGTTGCCAGACTATGCCTTGAGCTCTAACGGCAGAGCACAAGAGCATTGTCGATCAAATAAGGAACAAAACATATTCATCCTTCCAGGCTAATCACAACCCATGTTTACATCCTGAGCCCGTGGCTTTCAACTTTCAAAGCTGTTGCAATTACTCAAAGTTATCTTTCACTATCAGTGATAATATGCATTGAGCTTCCACTTTCTAGTAACAAAGAATCCAATATCCAACATGTTTACGAAGTGCACTATAGTATTAAGCAGTTACAAGTAAGCCAGAGAAGTATATATAAAGAAGCGCACTCTTTCCATTACCAGGAATACACACAACATGTAACAAGCAGTTTATTTCAACAGACTGCCTAGTCTTTACAGAAAATTCTTTAATCCTGACTGTGAACATTATCATTATTTCTTTTTTTGTTAAGGCGTCCAATTTACAATTTGTGGCAGCAGACCTAAATAGAAAAACAGTTTTAGTATAAAATTGTTATAATTGGAGCAATGTCACACTTTCACTAATCAAATCAACAAAAATAACCAGTAAATTAACTTCTATACAATATAAAATTAATTCAAATAGCTAAAAAAAATGAGAATAGGCTTTATTATTATCATTTCTTTAAATTGTTATCAGCTTCATACATTACAGAGTTATTATATATTGTTTAATAAAGAGCACCTAGATTTCAGTTAATTAATCAAAAAAGAAAAGAAAAGAAAAGAAACGTAAAATCAATAGGCCCATAAATTCTAAGTGCAATAATGATCAGGACTTTGGTTTAGCCTACGGTATATAAGAATAAAAAAGAAGAAAAGGAAAAAATGTATTCTATTTCCCCAAGTTCATTTTCACTCACCTAGCTGTCAGAATCTGTAAGTATTTTGGTGCCTACGAAAGTCAAATTGTTAAGAGCACTGGTATACTGCAGTCACTAGTAAGCTTAATGTGAATATTAAAGACTGACTTCCTTGGTTAAAAGGAAATAAGAATAAATATAACAAATTCACTATTTTCTTTTCTCTTTCATAAATATTTATGATGATTCCCTGGAAGGATTTAAAATAGTCTCAATCAGTGTATCAATTATGCATACTGTGAATATGGAACTTTTTCGTGCAAGTTCTTGCTTCAGTCTTTTGAAGTCTTTGTGGGACTTCCTGTCTACCAAAATACAAAGGAAGTTTATTTTTGGCATCTCAAGGTATTATATTCATACAAAGCCTTTCTTAACTCAGACATAATCTGCTCTCAAAATAAAGACTAAATATAGAAACTTTACAGTCTTTATATCCACAAAACAAATCAAAAATATATTCATGTGTCACGTAAGCGTTTTTCTTTGCTTTTTCTTTCAATAATATGATATTTCTTCCGTAGAGAACACAAGCGCTTGTTACTCTGGCTTCTGCTTCTGCCTAAAATCTCCCTTTCTTTAACTTACAATTTGGATCGACACTTCCTACATCTTCTCTATACCTCAACCTCCATAAACCTCCATAAACTACAACAATTTCCTCACACACGACATACACAAACCAGGTCTGACATAATAATCGCTTTTCCGGGACAGTTCGGGGTCGACAAATCAAATTAGGTTCCTCCTCCTCCTCCTCCACCTCTTCTTCCTCACTCCTTACTCCTTACACACTTACCAGTTCTCTCTCTCTCTCTTGGCTCCACGTCACACCATCACCTGAAGGGTTTCGTCCCCAAAAACAAGTGCTTTTGTTGTTGTATATGTTGTTTTTTTCTCGACGAAGGTGTGTTTCTGGCTGTAATGCAAAGCTTAGGAATACGCTGTTGTTTTGCTTACATGGAGGCGAC